GTGTCAAGTTGATTAGTCTTGTTAACGACTCCCTCGTGATCCGTTGTGATTCCAGGATATCCTCCTTCCCGTCCAGGATTTCCAACAGGGCCGTTAGTGCATTCTCTCCAGAGATATTTGTATACATGGATTCTACATCGAAACTTACCAATAAGTCCGTTTCTTCCAGTGCCACGTTTTTGATTTTTTGAGAAAACTCATATGAATGTTTCACTGTGTTTGATAGCCTCTCATTTAATTTCTTGAGTTTAAAACATATAAACTTTGCCAATTTCTGTGTTGCTCCATACTTGTTGTTGACTATTTGCATTAGGGCTCGCCTTTTTTGTGTATCTTCGGTAATCCGTATGCTGTTGGTGGTCGTGCATTCTTACTTATGAATGAATTCCTTGTCCATGCGTCAATCTCCCCATTCATATGCATATATTTCAGCATGGCATTTAAAATTCCATTGATCTTCATAGTTGGGTCCTTGTTTAGCATATGATATGTGGTCCTGTCTTGTCAAGTATCACTATAGCTCCTCCTTTTTCCGCCTGAAGGACTAATTGTCTATTCATTTCCAGGGTTTTGCGTATCCCGACAAATCTGTTCAGGTATGTAGGCTCCTGATGGGTCAAGATCTTTGAAATTTGTTCCATCTCCATTTCACGTTTTGTCTCCTCAGGGAACTTGTCGGTGATATTGATAACCTCGACCAGGATGTCTCCTAGAAGGCTCATGTGATGTTGAATTAAAAAATTGAGTCCTTTTTCCAGGAACGCTGTTGTTTCGGGATTGAAAGGAATTGATGCTAAGTTTAATACTTTCTTCCTATCCACGTGCTGATCAGTAAATGTTGTCACTTTGGAAACTACTTCAACTGGGCATACTGATTTTAACGTAGGCTGTCTAATAATCCCAAATTTACGCAACTTATTGCCATGCCGTTTTGTTATTAAGTCAGAAGTCCTACGTGATTTCCTGTCTGTCATGCTCTGGAGTTTTTAAAAATCTTCTGGAGACAGGATCCTGGCCAAATCACACCTGAGCTTTAACTTAATATCTATAAACTTAAACAACTTATAACGTTCAGTATGATATGTCTCCCTTAATTTCTGAATAGAAGCCTGGTGGAGATATTCATTTACCTTTTCCGAGTGGTAGGGTCGCTTAAGGTCACAGAACTTAGGAGTCATAGCATAACGTTTACAACAGTTTAAAAAAGAAAGATGGGAAGAATGACTTACAATTGTCTTCTTTGTCCGGCTGTATTTAGTGCATTTTTTGGCAATTTTACTACCGTAGTTTAATTTTAGATATGAAGACCAAGATGTTGTGGCCTCTGGTATG